CATGTAAATACATGTAAATATTTTCAAAATATATACTGTATGTGTGTGTATATATACATAATAAATATACACAGAACACAGACATATATTATGCAAACAAAAACTTTTATTTTGGATGCGATTAATGGCGATTAATCGTTTGACAGCACTATTAGGAATATAATATAATATTATATTATAATATTTGTTTTATTTTAGTGTAATTTACAAAATACAAAGTCTCCATGTTTCATCATAAAAGGGCACTAAAAGATCATTTGTTTTGCGTTAGACCAGGGGTGCCCAAACTCGGTCCTGGAGGGCCAGTGTCCTGCAGATTTTAGCTCCAACTTGCTTCAACACACCTGCTGGGAAGTTTCTAGTACGCCTAGTAAGAGCTTGATTAGCTGGTTCAGGTGTGTCTAATTGGGGGTGGAGCTAAACTCTGCAGGACACCGGCCCTCCAGGACCGAGTTTGGGCACCCCTGCGCTAGACAAACACACACACACACACACTTCAGGTCTTGCAGTCTCCACTAATGAGCTGGTGAGTTGAATCAGGTGTGATAGATGAGGGAGACATACAAAATGTGCAGGGCTGGGGGTACTCCATGGAGGGTACTCCAGGACAGGTTTGAGAACCACTGGGTTATATGGTTCAGGTAATTCAGGTTAATTAGGACATGTTTTCCCAGTCATCTCAATGACAAAAAAGTGTCCCAGTTTACGTGAGTTCACCCCTACTCATGCAGGTGCGGAAACAGAATTATTTACAATTAAATGAAAATGTGTTATTTTTAGTGCTGTAAAAATATTAATCACGATTAATCACATCCAAAATACAAGTTTTCGTTTGCATAATATATGTGTGTTAAATATTTTCAAAATATATGCTGTATGTGTGTGTATTTATATATATATATACATAAATATACAGTACACATACATATATTATGTAAACAAATTTTTTTATTTTGGATGCGATTAATCACGATTAATCATTTGACAGCACTAGTTATTTTTATATTTATTTTAAATTCATAGAAATAAATTTGTATTAGTAGATTACAAACATTAATGGTAAACTAATAAACTAAAATGTACTTTATTTAACCTCATTTCTATTAAAACTTGTATATAGTGTTGAAATATATTTTTAATTACACAAATTGTAATGAAGTTGCAATTTAACATATTTAAAATATATTAAAGTTAAATGTAACATCAAACAACACACTATAGTTACAACTGTAATCATCTATATGTGCTTTAGTATTTTGGTCAAAACATCAAAATAAGTGTACCTCTTTAAAGCATGATAAAAGATTAGGCCTATTAATCATAATAATTTAATATATACTTTAAAGCACTAAAACTTTTAATTTGACATTATTACAAACTGCACTTAAGTAGGTAGTGTAGGGTAGGCAACTACACTACACTGAACTGAGATTTTAATGAATCATATTTCAACATGGATGTAAACTATTTCATAACCTGCATGAACTATGGTTTAGACATGCATGTATAAAATATACTTATGTCATTATGTTATCGTTACATCAGCCTATTACACTGATTATAGAAAGGCGCGAGCCCGTCTCTGCTTATACTCTGTAGAAGCAGACAGACGCTCGCGACTGAGAAGTCGTTGCCACGGCAACCAAAAGGATGATGCAAACGGAGGCTGGACGATGACGGACTTCGCTCGACTTCATGACGGGAGGAATTAAGGTGGACCAACACCACGCAAACCAAAAACCTTTACACGTCCACAGCTCTTTATCTATTCCTAAATAATAGTTCCCGGGCGGCTGTATGAGTCATATGTTCATATTATTATGTTTATATAGTACACGCCTCAGTATTTAGTAACATTAGCTTGCTAATCGCAGTAGCCTACAACACATCTGGCGTACTTAAATATTTCCCAGAAACCTTGTTATGAAGTCTAATAAAGCTAGTTACATTATTTTTAAATAAATAATTCATGGAATAACATAATAACATAAACTCTAATAGCATAGTCTGACCCATATTATATTGTAACAATAATATAAAGGGCTTTTAAATGTACTGAAACTCAACCCCTGTGTCAAGAATGAGAATTTGTTTTACTCTTCACATTACAGATGGTGAGTCTCTGCCTCACTGTGTGGAACAGATTGGAGACACTAATTCTTCTCAGGAACACACGTCACAGTTTGTGCCCTGTTTGATTCATGAAAAATACTATTACCCTTTTTGCTGTATATATATTGCTGTATGTATCCATTTAGAATATTTACACCTGAATTGTTGTATAGGGAGCAGACAGCTATGTTTGCCCCAGCAGTTTGCTTTCGTCAGCTGTATGTTCAGCCATCCTTAAGGCACCACCATGGACTTGGGGGGGGCAAAGAGAGTGAGCGAGAGAGAGGGATGGAGGGACGAAGGAGGGGGAATAGCTGCAGGCATTACTGAATTACAGAATCCACAGAGAGAGACACACACACACCGTTACAGAGAGAGAGATAGAAGCGATCTCAAAACAGCATCACTCTCTACTAGACAGTGAACAGAATAGAGAAGAGAACAGAATAGCGTGATCGCACAAGCATTAGACAGAAAGACAAAGATGAGGTTGATTAGACAGCAGTGAAATTACCTGAGGGCAAAATAGAAGAGGGGGTAGACGGAGAGAGGAAAAGAAGAGTGTGGCTTTTAATCCTCTTGGCATGCGAGTGTATTCCTGGCTGTTTGGCACTGAGTGTGTGAGTGGTCACCCTGTGTGTGAGTGTGTGCTGCAGAGTTTGTCGGTGGTGTTGGGACGCTTTGGACTGGAATGTATCTGAGTTAACCGCTGGGGGCTTTCAGGAAGACACCATGCTGGGCAAGGATTACATGCTCGCCATCATCATCGTCAACTATGACGGTAGGTACACAGATGCATCTGCACTTTCCTCTGCTCTTTGTTCTTCTTTGTCACTCTCTAGTTAGTGCAGGCTGGAGGTGTCGGAGTGAGCGGAAGAGTTTGTTTCCTATCCTCTACAGTATCGAAATCAGTCATTGTCTGTTGTTCTCATGCTCCACTGGTCACTCGTGGACTTTACCTACAGGTGCTGTGTCATACTAGACCCACCCGACTGTTTGAAGACCCTGTTTTTGACATGTTTAGTGAGATGGACTTGATTTTGCTGGAATTAATTACAAGGAGATTTGCATCAACTGATTTTCACACTCGAGAGCCACACAGTCTAAAAGAAGCCTGTTGATAATGTTGAAAAATCCGTAGAGGACCAGGCATACATGCGTTCGGGAACAATGTCACCTGTGCGGTTCTGTTGGGAATATGCATCTGTTGCAGGATTAGATTATGGAAACACAGCAGCAAAATTTGCCCACACAACATTAAGCATCAGATAGACCAGTAAACTCCTCCCCTTTGTGAGTTCATGTGGTAGAGCTAGATATTTTTACAGTTTGGGGTAGAATCAGCGTATAATGATTTATACAAAGAACTCCAACAAAGAAAACATATTGTTTATTAAAAACATTTGCAACTGCCTGAGATGTAGTATCAAAGCTGATACATTTAGTGCTGAAACTCTTATAATTAAAAGGATCTGCCTTGAGATCTTGCTGAAAGTTGGTCCCTAAAGTATTCAAATGAAACTTTCCAGATGATGGAGCATTAGTGGGCTGATTTCTTCATTTTTGCTTTCATAAAATCATTTTAATGGGACCTGAGCCTGTTGTTGACCACTAAACCATCACATTATCTCAATGTATAATTCTCATATTCTGTTCACAGAAAAATCTTCATAAAGTGTGACATGCTAAAAATGTGACATGCTTGATTTTGATTTTATTATTGCTAATTCTTTCTAAAATGATTATTGATATATCAATATATGTAATTATTTATTCAGAGACTACCTGGAAGATTTGTTTTAAAAAATAAATGCTCTTTTAAATGGTCCACCATAGGACCATTTAAAAGAACTAGTGACAAATTTGTTTGCATAAAATATCACAGGGCCTAAAAAATTAGCATTTTTCTTATACGTTCATGTAAATTTTAACCTAAAATCTTGATGTTTATAATAAAGACGACACCTTGTGCTTCAAGTACCCAGTATCTGTAGAAAGGCAGAAACTGTCCTCACCGCGTCCTCTCCGCGTCATCGCTCTTAAAATAACTTCTGTTAAACACACTGCGAGGAGGTGTGTGTGAGAATGTGTTTGTCTGTTGTTTGTGTACGAGAGACAGTGAATGATGGAATTGCTTCTCCAAAAGCAAAGGCATGGACACTAAGGCATTTAAACACAATGCTGAATGGTGCTGAGTATTCGCTGATGACAGGAGCCTCTGTTGATGTACAGGAATCGATTGCATTTGCGTCCGATTTTTCTGGCTTAATCAATTCTGTTGTACTTTCAGTTAGTGAAATACTGCCTGCCTCTTGGATGCGTGGATGTCTTCATAAGGACGCCTCAAATAAAATGCTGTGTCTTGCTTCTTGATTTATTGAAGGCCCAAGGATTAAGTTCCAGATGGACATAATTTAGATCCACCTCGAGTCTTAATCTTCCCAGTCTGACCTCACACAGACATAACGGAATTGGGATTATCTGACCACTGACATAGTGCCATTGGGATTATTTTTTCCAGATGTAGCTACAATGATCTCTTTCTGCTTCTCTCTTTCTCTCTTTTATCCTGACAGAGTTTAAACCTGGACATATTAGAGCTTTGTCCTTTTCTTGGCTTTTTCTCCCAATGGTACCTCTTGGTCTTTTTACACTAGTTTATAATTGGTTGTCTGTTATTAAAGAACTCTTTTTATGTAGCAATACAACTGCTTTACACTGTGTTTATTCACACTAAATGTTTAGTACCACAAAAGCAGGGCTAAAGGTGACATCATATTTACTATAGCAAACTTTGGTGGGCAAAATCATAGCACTCAGTGGTCTGGAATTTTGTGTGAGGGCGAAAGATTTCGCAAAAGGTTCAAGTTGGACACGTGGATTCACCACATTGACCAACAGAAAGCAGCTTGGTTTTAAAGTGACTTTTTGTGAGCTGTGCTTCATACATTTCTACTGACAATAGACAAAAAACATTTTTGCCATATTTTTGCCAATTTTGCCATAATTTCGGTAATGTGTACATTGTACATTTAGTGAGTTTTCGCTGACAGAATCCAGTAATTTCAATCTAGCATCAGCATCAGTTCTGGCAGGTCACGTTAGTCAAGCTTGCATCAGTTGACTTTCAGCTGATCCACGTCTACCTATAGGGATGCGACACCTATCACAGCACTCATATATAAGGTCCTTCAGTATTATAACCAGCTTCACGTTGCTCAGTAGCTAATTACCCACCTCCATCCCCGACTCCTCCTCTTGTCAGTCAGGATTCAGCCTTCTGATTCTCCTTTGAATCAGACTAATTTCTAAAATGTACATTAAATTATTGAACCTTAATGATATCTGCAATACATTTGTTGTACTGTTCTGTTTACCCTGGGGGATTATTGCTGCTCTCCCTGCTCTTCTCCATGCTAGGCTGCATGGATGCACAGGGAGTTCTTGCCCAGAACAGAACCATACCGCCAATCCAAACTGTATGCTAATTGTCAGTCATCTTTGACGATAGTGGTCCTGACAGAAATAGGAATTTACGTGACCTGGAATTTTGTGAGAGGGCAAAAGATTTCCCTATATGCAGATTTCGCAACGGGTTCTAGTTGGTCAGACGGATTCACCATGATGACCAAAAGAAAGCTGTTTGGTTTGAAAGTGACTTTTGTGGAGCTGTGCTTCATATACTGTGCCACTACACTGTTGATAATACACAATGGATGTTTTTTGGTCTGAAAAACAATTTTCGCAATTTCGCTAATGTGACACACCTTAAGCCTGTAGTGGAGAATGGTTATAACCCGGGGATAAGAGCGACCCTAACCAAGGATTAAGAGTAGTCTAAATGCATTTCTGTACTCTCTCACTCTCTGTGTAACGTGTATTTACCTCATACTTCTCCTTTACTCTAAAAGTGGCTGAACTGGAAGGTGAAAAAATCTATTGATTGCAATCAGTGCAGTAATTGTGCCTTTTATTAGTTGTTTCAGTGGCTCATGAGAGTCAGGAGTGGTCAGTTCTGATTGGCCACATGAAAGCTCTCTGGTAAAAGACACAATTCAGGCAAATGTTTTTTAGACTCTGCTTGCAGTGGTTTCTGAGGCGACCAAGTGCGTCAAGAACAACGAGGGATTGTCAATGGAGAATTCCCACACTACTTCTTTTATGTGCTTGTTGTCACTCTCGAGAGTGATTGGGTGTTGAATAATGTGTCCTGTTTTACTGTTCAAGTAGATTTCCAGATTTTTTCTGTTTGAGTAGATTTCAGTAATTAGTGGTGTTTGAGTTGTGAGCTTCAGTATCGCTTAAACAGGTTTAACGCCAACTCATGCAGCTTCTTAAGGAGAGGTGCTATTTCTTTTTTCTAAGGCTTTGTTCATACTATAGAGGATGTGAGACAATATTTTTGTAAGCAACCACCTAACAATGCCCTTGGAATCATCCAGAACATCCTGATAACTGTAAAAAAAAAAAAAAACCCTGCTAAAAACCATTCAGAACACTTCAGCAACTTCATTGCAATATGCTTTATGCCAGGGGTTTTCAAAGTCTAAGACAGTGGGCCTCCCTTTTGACACAACTTACCCAATGGCGCCCCCCCCCAACACACACACACAATGTCAGACTGTTAACTCACTTTTATCATTATTTGTGTTAACATGAAAAGTGCAGTTATTTTCAGAGTAATAACAAGTAAGTTAATATAACGTTTTTAAAACTAAGAATAATGAAACAAAAACAATGATGGTTCGATATGAAAAGAACAGAATTTTTTTTAGCAATTTAAAATTGTAAGAGCTGTCCATCCCAGTCAAAACAGTCAGATGATTGGCGGGCTTGTCAAACAGCAGCGAATTCACAGCTACGGCCTTCTGGGTGAAAAATGTTTCTCATATTTTTGACTTATTATTTTTTAGTATCGTTTAAATAAAAACATTTAAATATAATAAAAAATACATATAATAATTTAACTCAATAATTTTATTTTTAATTTATTATAATTTTCCCGCGCCTCCCCTGACATGCTCTGGCGCCCCCCTGGGGAGGCGCGCCCCACACTTTGAAAACCCCTGCTTTATGCCATTCAGTGTATAGCAATGGCCTAGCAACCAAGCAGAACTTTGCAGGAAATGTTAAAATCTACTCAAACATGAAACTCTGAGATACAGAGTGCCAAATAATGAGCATATATCAAACTTGGTCAACATTGTAAGACTTACAGTGATGGTTTCTTACACCAAATTGTACACATACACAAACAAATACAGTCCCTATATAGCAGTTGCTATAGGGACTGATCAGGCAGTAGAAGTTTTCTCAGGAGATCATCAATAATTCACAAACATCCTCTTCTCAACCCCCCTCCCCCCCTTTCAGCTTTCAGCATTCAATCTGTTGTTATCGCTTTATCCTCATGACATAGCCTTGGAGTTGTTAGTAGGTGCATGATGGGAACTGTGGCACCACCTACGTGCGTAAAGCTGTGATACCAAAATAACAGGAAGTGAGGTCGTATCTCACTGTAGCTGCATCCCAGTACGCTTATTGAGTTTATAACCCACACTTTTTCTTAAAACCACAGACTTGCATTTGAAATCCATCCATCTATAGTAAATTATATGATGAATTGTGTAATATCATGTGTGCAAATTATGCAGTAGGTAGCAAGGGCATAATTTGAAGCAAATTGGTGACAGAATAACAGATGTTTTGTATATTAGCAAACTTTTTATTCTTGTATTATCCATCAAGATTTATCTACTGGCATCTGAGCCTGAGAAACAA